AAATACTTTTTCCCACCGCGAGATGGTGTTGACTTCATGTCACAAATATCTGTGTGAATTAAGTCTAAAGGACTTGAATTCCTTTCAACGGACTTATAAGGATGCTTAGCATACTTTGATTCCACACATATTTGACATTTGGAATTAATGCAATCAAATTTTGGCAATACTTCTAAATTTATCATCTTTCGCAATGTTTTGAAGTTGACGTGTCCTAAACGCGAATGCCATAAAGTGTTTGACTCAAGTAAGTAAGAAGAAGCATTCACTTTATTGATAGGAACTGCTATTACATTTAGCTTAAAAAGGCCCTCATTCAGGTAACCTTTTCCTACATACATATCATTCTTACTTAGTACAACACTATTGGAAACAAAAATACATTTGAATCCATTCTTGACAAGAAGTGAAGTCGACACAAGATTCTTGCGAATTTCTGGAACATGGAGAACTTGGTTTAGAGTCACTATTTTTCCCGACGTCATCTTCAACGCAATCTTGCCAACTCCTTCAATTTTGGCTGTAGACGAATTTCCCATGAAAATTGTCTCGTCGGGTCCTGCGGGGGCATAAGAAGAAAATAACTCCTTGTTAGCACAAACATGGCGGGTGGCTCCAAAATCTATCCACCATTCTTTAGGATTTCCTACCAAGTTGCATTCAGACAACATGGCACACAAGCCCTCCATTTCTTCAGCTTTTTCAACCATGTTAGCTTGATTCTTCTTTTTCTTATCATTCTTTGGTGCACGACAATCCACGGCCTTATGCCCAGATTTTCCACAGTTGTGGCAATTACCCTTGACCTTCTTCTTGCTTGGGTAGTTCTTTGGTTCAGAAGCCTTCTTTCTCTTCTTGGTTTGTGGCGCCTCCTCAACAATGTTAGCCCCCATTATTGTCGAGTTCCCACGTGACTTCTTTTCAGCATTTTTGTTGTCTTCTTCTATCCTCAAACTCACAATCAAGTCTTCAAGTGTCATCTCCTTCCGCTTGTGTTTTAGATAGTTCTTAAAATCTTTTCACAACGGAGGTAATTTCTCAATGAAAGCGGCGACTTGAAAGGCCTCATTTATGACCATACCTACAGCAAGGAGGTCATGCACAATGACTTGTAATTCTTGGACTTGAGTTATGACCGACCTAGTGTCAATCGTCTTGAAATCCAAAAATCTAGCAGCCACGAACTTCTTAAGTCCGGCATCCTCAGTCTTGTACTTCTTCTGCTTTTGAAGTTTCCATGACTCTATAGACATTGTACAAGCCATCTTCCAAACAACTCAAAATGTAGTTTTTGCACAAGAAATCAGAATGTTTCCATGCTTCAGTTACAACAAGTCGTTCATCATCCGGAGTACTTTCTGCCAAGACCGGAGGATCCTCCTTGATGAAACGTTGCAAACTCAACGTAGTAAGATAGAAGAGCATCTTCATTTGCCAACGTTTGAAGTCAATACCGGAAAACTTTTCGGATTTTTCTGCTGGTGCCATAGCATGAGCAGGAGTAGAACGGCTTGACGAGGCAGCAGCACTCGTAACAGTAGCTCCCGTTCCTACAACATTTCCATTAGTTGGTTTTCGTTCGTCATCTTTTTTGTAGAGTTGGAAACACAACAGAACTTTGTTAAATCAGTGAAGTTTTGATATCTTCAAACTGAATACCAAACCAAACATACAACACGTAACAATGGTGAAGTTTTTATATACTTCAAACCCGTACGTTTATTATTTCGGTAAAGTTTTTATATACTTTAAACCGGACAGAACAATTATTAGAGTAGAAAGCACGAAGGCTTTAGTCTCCAAAACAGTATACAAAATATGAATAACAGTTTAATATATGTTTCAACACAGAAACGTTAGTATTTAAAATTCCTTAAGCTTGTGAGCGTTACTGTGTTAAAACACAAAATCAGAAAAAAAACTGTTAGAAGAATTAAAGAAATCTGGAAAATAGTAGAGAATCAGAAATATTCCGAGTCCACAAGTTTCTTGTGTGTCCTTAAGGAATTTTAACCCCCTCACAAGTTGCCAAGGTAATGGATTAAATCCTCCCAGGATAAAACGGAATAATCCCAGCGAACTCAAAGAACGGAGCAAAATCACACTTACGAATTGGAGAGAGAGAGAGACTGCGAATTAGGATGCAGTATATTCAAAAAGAAAGAAGTTCTAGAGTGTTTTTCGTGTGTAGAAAATGGAGCCTTGCCTCAGAATTTATAGGCAATTATCAGAAGAGGTGTCTGGAAAAGGTGCCTTTTCAGAAGAATACGCTGCCTGCCGCGGTTCTACCGCGGTTACGGCAGAACCGCGTCAGAGAGGCTCTCATTTGGCATTTAATTAATTATTAAATAATTAAATAAATTTTGTCCAAAAATAATCTTACGGCGCGAGGGTTCATTCTCTTCAACTCCTTTTAAGAGCTTTAAGAAGTGATTCTATATATAAGCACACAAATGTGATTGTCCCTCACCAATGAGGGACAAAGTGCAAGACAAAAGTTCACTTCTTCAAATTTTCATTTTTCCCTCCATTTTATTTCCCTCCATTTCCAATTCACACTTCTTCTACTTTAAAGCCCAATGGCTTAAAGTCCAACAATACTTTTCAGTAACATAGTTATCGTGTAATTCTGCCTAGCAAAGCTTAGGTAGATGTCTTTTATTTTTTGAATTGTAGTCTTCAAAATTTGCGGTCACTTAATTGACCACTAGATAACACCCTGAGTTTACCTACTTTAGTTAATCATCTACTATCGGTTATTCCAATTATTAGCCAAATTCTTCCATGTGTTTTCTTATTTTAGACTAATGAAGTTAATAACTCAATTTCAGAATCACTTAGATCCATTCAATCATGTCCAAGATCAATATCAGACAGGATTGTTTATAAATTGGCAACAAAGAACAGGAAATCATCGGATTTTCGACAAAACCCGTATCATGAATTGGAGGCTGCTTATGTAGCACAGGTACGTATGCCGAGGCGGATGCATTGTAGTCCCAACAGGTTCAACTGAACGCAACTTTTAACATGAACATAAATATGTATGAAAAATCACTAAATTTCAATAAAACCAAGTTATTAACCCATAAATGAAAAAGTGCAATAGATTTAGCGTTGAGAGCATACATATTAAACCTATCAAATTTAAATTCTGAATACGCCTCTGTATTACAGGTATGCTTAGCATGGGAAGCACTGAGCTGGAATTATAAATACTTCAAAACCCTAAGAGCTTCTCGTGATGAAGAGGACCCAGGTTGTCCTGCATATATAGCTCAGCAATTTCAACAATTTCAAGTGCTTTTACAAAGATATGTTGAAAATGAGCCATATGAACACGGTAAAAGACCTGAGATTTATGCTAGGATGAGAAGCTTAGCTCCTAAGTTGCTTCAAGTTCCCGAATATCGAGGTATGCCCTTTTTCTTTTGAGTATAAATTTTGATTCCTATCACATAGAACACCGGAAGCGAGCCTCCACTTCATCCACCCCGCTCCGATGCGATGTGTGACATCTTCGTCAATCTCCCCGTTACCCTGGATAATAGACCCGAGACACTTAATGCCCCTGTCACGAGGTGTGAGAGGTTGGCCATGGAGAGTTTGAGAAGGGGTCGAGGTAGGCCTAAGAAGTACTGGGGAGAAGTGATTAGGCAAGACATGGCGCTGCTTCAGCTCACTGAGGACATGACACTTGATAGGAGGGTGTGGAGGTCGGAGATTAAGGTAGAAGGTTAGTAGGTAGTTTATAGTGTTCACCGATAGGCTTAGTAGCATGCATGTCCCTTCATATTCTTAGATTTTTATTACGTTATGTGGTTTTGTTCGCCTCAGGTATTGTATTCCCTGTTGCTATTATTTGATACTATTTATCCTTTATCTGTCCCTTTTTTCTCTTCCGTCTTCCTTCCTTCCTTGCTTCCCTCTTCTTCTTCTTGCCCTTCCTGAGCCGAGGGTCTATTGGAAACAACCTCTCTACCTGCATTAGGTAGGGGTAAGGTCTGCGTACAGACTACCCTCCCCAGACCCCACATATTGGGATCAAACTGATTTTTGTTGTTGTTGTTGTTTTAAAGAATTTTTACAGTATTAATACTTCACTTAAGGGGTCGTTTGGTTTGAATACGGCTTATGCTGGGATAAGTTATGCTGGGATTAATTATCCTGGTATTGTTTTTTATCCACTGTTTGTATGTTGTATTAAAAATAACAATTGCATAATTTCTAAGAAGAAGGTATAAGTTATCCGGCACTAATTATCCCACACCATACGAGGTATAAGTTATCCCGGTACTAATATTAATCTCGGGATAACTTATACAAAGTTTGTTAACCAAACAAAGTATTAAGGTGGTATTAAATTTTTATATCAGTATATCTATTTATACCTTATACCAAACGACCCCTTAAAGTCTTTTACAAGTAATAACATGCATGAATAAGTAACCCACAAAGCATGTAAATGACTTGTTATAACACATAAAAGTATAATAATAGTGAATCTTTTTTACACTGTTAGTGTGTGCAATTTAAATCTTTTTTCTTTTTTGGTCCCCGTCTCCAAATACCAAATTGGCGATCAAAAGATACAATGTTTTTAAATATTTCAAACTAATATAAAAATTGACGCATTTCATTTTGTTTATTTTGAGTAGATTCGGATGAGGAAAAGGACAGGAAGATTTTTGCTCGAGAATATCTTCAAATTCATTTCTTCGGATAATGGAAGAATCAATTAGAACATTTATGAATTTCCTCAAGGCGGACAAGAAGAATCGTTGTCAAGTATTAGTGGCAGCTTTGTTTAGGAAAAACAAAAGAGGTTCTGCTGACCCAACTCTTCTCCTCTTACTCAAGAAAGTAAACAAGAAGGCAAGTATATATCTCTTCTTTTTTTTTTTTGTGCTAAACAAAGTTCAAAATTAAAATAATTATATGATGGTGCAGAAAAAGTCAAGGGTGAAAGATCTACGTCGGTCAGGGAAATGCAGCTTGGGAAAAAGAAGATTAAAAGAAGAGGAAGAGATGGAGATATTGATGGGATTAATAGACTTAAAAGTAGTATCGAGGGTGTTGAGAATGAGTGAACTGAATGATGAACAGTTGCATTGGTGCGAAGACAAGATGAGCAAAATCAGAGTTTCTGATGCTAAATTATACAGAGATTCTTCACCACTTTTCTTCCCAGCCCACACTAGTTAAGTAGTAATTCTTTTGTAAATAACTCTACAATTACTAGAAAAGAAATAAGGTTCAAAAGTAAATTGAATGCATGTGGGGATGACAAGGATAAATGGTGGGATTTGGATGTCTGATTGTTTTATTAAAACAATTTTTGATTTTATTGTATGTAGTGAATAAGCAAAGAAAAAAAGCAAAGACAAAAGAAAAAGAAGGATGAGGATATAGTGACAAGGGATGTAGCTTTTATTTCTTTTGAATATTAGGGGTTTATCCGAGTTGAATTAAAAGGCAAAGCTGCAGATCCATGTGCATTAAATAAAAGAAAAATGTTGCAGCACATGGCACGTTTAGGATCTAAATTTGGTCCAACTTCTTTTCAGAAATTGAAGGGCACCCAATAAACAAAAATGATCAACAATAAGAGATGCATCTGGAGAGCATGTCTTGATTTGTGTCATCTCAATTTTATGCTATGATTAGGAAATGTAATGTAAGCTATAGACACTCGTAGACATACGTCAAAGAACGTCTCTTGTAAAAAAACGCTTTTATTTTTATTTTACTTTTTCATTGATAATATGTTGCATCTATGGGTCATCATTATTATTAGGTGACTTTTGGGCTAAGCTTACCCTAGACCCTCCCTTAAGCGTAAAATTAGTAAGGGTATTATCACATTTAGCCCGCGGCAGAAATTAGTTACGTTCAGTAGCCGAAAAAGTGTATAAAATTTATATAATTTTTGTATATAATATACAGAATATGTATATATACAAAAAATATACTACATTTTTTTGGCTATTATTTTAAAAGCGTCTATACAACATCATTTTCCCAAATTAGTTGGGACGACTATTAGAGTTTGTCTGTCTTTTTAATTGTATTGATAAAGTAGTCACTAAAAATATTCCTATCTAAAACACGAAAGAACTCCAGCAATTGGTGCTGGATTTCAAGCATTGTACAAGTAAAACTCTAGCATAATATACTGCAGTTCCAAAAACTCTTTACAAGTATAATCTCAAAATATATGGTACTTGACTTTAGAGCTTTTAAAAGTAAAATTTAAGCATGTTATACTAGAGTTCAAACATTCATAGATTCAAAAACCAGTAATAATTACTAGGGTCCAAACCTTTAGAGGTTCAAACTCCATCATCGATTACTGGGGTTCAAACGTTTATAGGTTCAAACCTCTACAACAGTTATTGGAATTTAAATTTTATTCACATTGTTTCTCTCAAAAATACTTTATTTTGAAATCTATGACACAATCATGGAGTTCTAATTTTCACAATCTGAAACTATATGATATTATTCTTGAGTTCAAGAGTGGTACCATAGATGAAACAATCCTTTTAGGTTTTAAACCTTTGTATGTTCAATCCCTAGCAATGTTTACTGGAGTTTGAATCTTTTTTACATTGTTTCACCCTAAAGGTTTAAATCCAAATATATTGAACTCCGAGAATCATTCCTGAATTTTACACTGGTAAATGCTCAAAAATCAAAAACATTCTTGGGACTTCGAACTCAAGTACTGAATGCTGAAGTTGTGTTTGTATTTTAGTGTGTCTGTGTGGGTGGGGGGGTGGGGGGGGGGGGAGAGTAACCACTTTACCATTACAATTCAAAATATGACTAAACTCTAATAGCCAGTCAAAAAAGTGAACCCATCTAATTTTTTCATCCTTTAAAATTGCAATAGATTACTGAAATATGACACTTTTTCGGGTGGTTTTTAATTTTTGACCCTCGCCTTTCCCATGGGCAGAATTTCAAGATCAAAAGTTATTGTCTATGAGGCAAGCAAGGGGCTACACTTGATAAACTTGTCTATGGGGCTAGCAGAAATAAAATGTCAAGACCATTCACTTTTAGGGCTATTTATATACGTCACCCTTAACATTGTACTATAATGGGCTGATTTACGCAAATATTCATTTTAGGCTATTACTTAAATTTTGTCCCTATTTTAAAAAGTGATATTGATATAGCCCTTGAAAAATTACCCCTTCCCGATAATATTAGACTTAGATCTATTGTAATAACTTGTAAAATTTTAAACTATTATTTAATATTTTCTAATAAAAATTTCAATAAATTCAAAAAGGTTCTTTATAATATGGCCTAAAAAGTCCATAAGTTGCAAGATAAATAAAAGAAGAATCAATTACTAAATAGCTGATACAAGAAGGAACAACGGATAAAAATTTACCATGATGTTATTTGCTTCAAGTAAACTCACAATTTACCCATTTATACCCAAAGCCAAAGGTTCTGTGTGATTCACAATATTTACAGTAAAGTTATATTTAGTTTTCATCAACCTCCAATGTTAGTATCGACAAAGTTACTTATTGAACTAAGACAACTCAAATTACTCTTAATATGACATGATAATATTCGCTATGTGTAAAGCTTACCAAAATTTTCTAAATGTCTCACACTAATCAAAATAATGATACACTTATGCGTACCTTATATGCTCTCATAACTATACCGTTAGGATCGTTTGGTACGTGGATTAAACTATCTCAAAATTATAATTTATGGACTAATTTATCCTATATGGGAAATGGGATAATATAATTCTAAGTTTGATGGGATAAGGTGAGACATTATGTATTAAGTGTGAGATTAAATTTATACCGTTAACCAGGATAAATTATACTATCAACTAAATATGGTAAACCCACACCTTATCCTACCTTATCCCCATGGGCGGATGCACATAGGAGAGGGCGGGTTCACGTGAACCCATCCTCCTCCCCCAAAATCATGCATAACACTAATAACTTTCAGCTCAAATACTTAAATTAACATAGGTGAACCCAAACTCAAGTGAACACTTTAGTTAAGGAGGTACACCTTCTACCTTTTAATCAGGGGATCGATTCCCTACTCGCTCTGCCATTTTTTCTAATTAAATACATTTTTTATTTCTTTTTCTCCCTTCCATATTTGTTATACGTCTTTTTCTTTTTCCTTCTTTTTTTTTAGTCTTCGTTTTAACCTTTAAAATTCCTAAACCAAAAATACATCTCTTAGGCACTTGCAAAAATTCGGGTCTCTGGCGCTCATAGTGCACCCATGCTTTTAAAATCCCGAATACGCCTCCGCTTATCCCGGGTACCAGAAGATCCCTCACCCTCTTTATGTAGTACCAGAGGCGGCTCAAGAACATTGGAGGCCTAAAGCCAAATTTTTTTAGAGGCCTTACACTTAAAAAAAATCATAGTGTAACAAGACTCATACTTTATAGTTGACATGTAAATTCTGAAATAATAATAGTAAAGCAATATACTACTATGAAGTAAAAATATAAAAATAACAAATTTCAAATTTAAAAGAAATAATAGAAATTTAAAACAATAGAATTTGATTCTAGAAATCCATATATAACTCAATATATCATAATAAAATTTTATTGTTGCTGCAATGCTTGAAAGAATGAAAAATAAGTAATCCTAATTTATTCAATGTCTTTCATCCTTAAAATATCATCCGCTCTAGGAGTTCACACCTAACTAAACATTTAACCTTAAGAATCAATAAATCAAAGTAAAAATATTACTCGACCGTGGTTAAGTATTAAAAATTGTACATGCAAGACATACGTCTTACATTCATTGGTTTACTATACACATTCGATGCAGATAAGTTTTTACCTTTTTTCATCCCTTATCTTTTAGACAATAGACAACTTAGTAAGAAGAAAAAGAAAAGAATATAAAATACACAAATCTTATTATAAGAAAGAATAATAATAAATAATAATAATATCACTGTTAGAAGGTAAATTAATTATAAGTCAACATAAATCACATTGGCTATATATTTTTCTATCTTTTTATAATTTTTTTATACTTTTTACCATAAATATTCAATATATTCTATATAAAACTACCATAGAATTAACTTATATTATTAATTAAAAAATGGGGCCCTAATAATTTGGGGGCCTAAAGCCATTGCTTCATGGCTTTACCCTCTAGCCGGCTCTGTGCAGTACTCCCTCAGGTCCACAAGTGACTAATTTGCCTTTTTATTTTGGTTCAAAATAAGTGTCATTTATATAATCAAGAAAAAATTCAATTTGTTTTTCCAAAATTACTCCTATGTACGTATACCTAAAAAGTCTTTTATTCCTCACATTAAATTATGCTGTAATATTTAATTAAGAGCAGTTTATCACACTAATTATTTTTGTTTAGAATTTCATATTTTTTTAATAGATGTGTCCAATGCAAATTGGTCCCTTATTATGGACACGAGAGTAATAACTTATATGTCTAACCAATTTTAGGAATTTGGACCAAAGTGTCCTACTTTTGTAAACATTAAAGACCATATGTGCTCGCATGTGTATACAGTAAGGACTAGTTTGGTGTTTACCCCATTTTCTTCTTCTCCAAAACCCATTCTTAGACAGCAGAACGCACACCCATCGTTACACAGCAAAAACCTAGGGAGAAGATGGCGGAAGACGCTATACTCGGATTTCTTGAAAAGAACGAGGAGATTTCAGATTCTTTTAAATTTGCCGAACAACATGGGTTCCTCCACGAGGAGATTGTCAATGTTATCCGCAGCCTCAATGGTTTTAGATTTGTTGATGCTCAGGTGCTTGCTTACTTCGTCTCTTTTTTATTTTGCAGTTCTTTCCAATTTTTCTTGACAATTCTTGTTTATAGAATATTAAAATACTAATACTAGTATTCAAGTTTGATCCTGCAGCAATGAATCCTCTTCGGAAGTGCAAATGAATAAAAAGAAGCAATTTTCCGACTTAGGTTTTTGCTTAATAATTAACGTTTGTTGGTTTAGTGTGCAGTTATTGTAAGAATAACTATGCTTCAATGCCAAATTAGTTGAATTTCTGTCCTATTTGACCTTGATTCATTCAGTTATTCAAGATTTGCACTGACATTTTCAAATTTAAATAGGAAAAAGAAAAAGCATGTTGTTTGAAGTAAATAGATAGCTAACTTGTCCTGGACCACGTGCAAGTTGAGGAAAATTTTATATTGTAGTTTATTCAAGTGTCGAAGTCAGAAAATTCGTGAGGGTGTTCAATTGAATTACCACCCTTCGGCCGCTATAGCTCCGCCCCTGGTTTATCCTACACTCTGCATAGAGTGAACAAGGCTATTTTCTAATAGTATTTTTTTATGTATAAAACATCCGGAAACACCTTTCATTAATGTGAAGCAATGTTTGATTTTGTTGAATTGTGCAGGATATTAGGAGAGAGAGATGGGTGCTTACTGAAGAGGGGAAAACCTATGCTTCCGTAGGTTCTCCAGAATTTCAGCTTTTCTCAGCAGTACCACCAGAAGGAATTGCGCGGGAGGAGTTGCAGGTTACAGATTATTCTTGTTTTTAGTCGCTTGTTCATTTTCCGTCTATCAAAAAGGAGTTAAGTGATTTTACTAATTGATGTTCATGTGCCATTTCATGAATGCTAATCTGGATGCAGAAAAAGTTGGATCCTGCAGTTTATAAGATTGGTTGCCAGCAAGCTATAAAGAACAAGTGGGTGGAGATGGCAAAGACTCAAGTTTCAAGGAAGGTACAGTAGGCAAACACATAAGAGTGTATTGCTCATCCTCCTCTGTATTTCTAATATCTCATCCTCAATTATGACTGCATCTTTTAATTGGATGAAAAACTGTACCTTTGCTCCAACCCTTGCCTCAAACAAAATGTTCTTCTTTTTGGTAAATTCTTTTTATTCCTTTGTTAAGGAGCGGAGATAAATGGACTAGTTCCATCCTGTTATCTTGCCAAATTGATGAATAACAGTTTATCTATTCCTTGGTCCTCTCCGGCTCTCGCTTAGGATAGCCAAATAATCAGGAGTCTCGCCCCTCATGCCTCAGAATGATTATGAAGGCTTGAAAAATCCCTTATTACTTGCTTAGTACCAGATCTTTAGCTAAAAAAGTGCCATTGCTAGCCTACATTCAGCACTGTTCACTTGTAGCCCTCCAGTCTCCCCCAACTTCCCTTGTGGTGGTTTCGGAATTTTCTGTTTCTCCTTCTATGTTTTATTCCTCTTTATTGTTTGCCATCTAGCTCAATTTATAGCACGGGGCTTCTTTTGTGTTACTGTTTCTTTCCTTATCTGCTGAATAAGGTCTCTGTGAACTACAGCGTAGAGGCAGCAAGTGAAGGTGACATCTACATGTGCTTCTTTTAATACCTCTTACATGGATCCACTGTTTAGCCTATTTGTGACTTCCTGCAGGTCCAACATGCTGATGATAAAGTTAAAGGTTCACTCTTGAGGATACAAAATGGCGAGGTATATAAATTTGTTATCAGCGATCATCTTATTCCCCAACCATTCACCTTTTACTTGCCCGTCATCTTTACTGTTGGCTCTCCTTCCACACAGAAGACCAGTTATGGTTTTGTCATTACTTGACTTTGTTATAGTTAAATCAAATTGTCTCTAAAGGCAATGCACTTAATCGATTTGTCGTTAACAAGCAATGCACTGCAGGCTGTCAATCAGGAGGATATTGATGCTCTAAAGCGCCGAAAGCTAATTAGTCAGCAGTAATTATCTACTCTTCGATATCCTTTCTCCAGCACTTGATGTTTACAAGATGTAATCTTATATACATGGTCAAATGCTGGTTCTTCAATATATTTCTTATTGCTGCTTATTTAGGGTTTGGAAAGGAAACTCAGTGAGAAAAGGTCCTAACTATGCTCCTAAAAGGAAAAGAGCCGCAACTGATCTCACTCGTGAAAACCTACAGAGGTAACTTTCTGACTTATTTTCTCTGGGAAGAATAAATAATATTGGGATTTACTTTTAGTAAATGCTCAATAAATTAATTGATGGAGCTGTTTTCCTTGATGATGGATGACTTTTTGTTGCTGCTCGAGCTAAATAAGGTCTGGGTTGGAACTTGGACTGAAAAATATTTCCATTTCTTGTTTATTAACAGGTGTCAATATAAGAGGATTAACCTCATTAAAAGATAGCTAGGTCTCTTCAGCCATGTGACAGTTTGCAATACCAAAAGCTTTTTAATATGCCTGAATAGGGAATTTGTATCAATTGCTAGGCAGTTTGAGCATGTTTTTCAGTTTGGAATTTTTTCAAGCTCGGACACTTTCTTTTCCAAGTACAAATTTTGGATCTCCTTGTATTACTTGCTGAATTTGCATTGGACTACATACCATGAGTACTGCTATAATCGGATAGGCCACTCCGCAGGGTGGGTGATGGGTCTAAAGCTGAGCCCAATTCTGGCCCTAGCCGGACTCTTTCGTTATAACATGTCCCATTACCTGGCAGGAGCTATAGCCATTTTTGTTTTGTATGTAGGTCTAGGCATAGACTAATTGTTCCATAACCTATATAAACCCCAATACTATGTAACATCTTTTTTTATAAAGTAAGGTAAGCTAATGTAACATATTATAGTTTACTTAAGGAGTGTAAGAGTCCACTTGAGAAAATAAAAATTAATTTAATTCTAATTTTTGTTGTAAATCACAAAACATGCGGTGTTAGTGTTGTTGAGTCAATACATTAATCCAATAGTACAGAATTTTCCTTAAAAAACCATCTGGAATTGAACCTAATCAATTAAAATGGAATGGAGGTAGAGTATATGCATATGAATGTGTTTATGATTGTGTTTTTATTATTTTATGTTAAGCTGAAAGGAGTTTTGGCATTTTATACGATCTGAAGAAAAAATCTACAAAAAAGTTCATGGGCTGGGTAATCGCAGCGAGGCATAAGAAAATATTAGGTGATCTCTTCTTCTGTCTAAGCCTTGGTTGCAGAGTTACGTGGTACCCGTGCTGGTGGGAGGCATTCTGTGGAATAATCGAGGTGTGCGTAAGCTGGCCGGAACACCATCATCGTAAAATAAAAATAAAAAGAAATTCATGGGCTGGGTAAATGGGAAATGTTGCAATATGTAGCATTTTTCAGATGGTTTCTGAGTAGTTAATGTTTGTTTCAAGTTTCAACATACAAATTGATTTATATATCAGTAATTCACCAAGTAGGAGTCCGCTAATTCCATGATGGATGAAGCATTGAGTTTATTTTCTGATCAATATATGTTGCTTGTTCCTTTGAAGGGGTGACTGGAAGGAATTGGAATTTAAAGAGTATAACTTTAGTGCAAAAGGTCAGCCAGTTGAAGGTGGCCATCTTCATCCATTGCTCAAGGCATGCTTTTGTCCCGTTTCTCATTATTGGCTATTCTTGTCACTTTAAATTGATTTATTCTGTTAACCGAAGCCAAATTGCCTTCCCTCATGTGTTAATGAAATCATACCATCTTGTTGCAGGTTAGGCGGCAGATACAAATGATTTTTCTTAATATGGGGTAGGACTAATTGACATTTTTCCCGTGTCTATATATGAAGGCTGTATATGCATGATTGTGTGTAGATGTGTGTCCATGTATATATTCAGTTATATATATGTAAACTCTCCGTAGTGGACTGTAACTGTTTCAATTGAATGCAGGTTTGAGGAGATGCCAACAAATAACTATGTCGAAAGCAGGTAAGCTATCATGTCTTTTGTTAGCTTTTTCCTTGGTCATAAATACAAGTGAGCCAGTCATAATTGATGGAACAGTTGGAATTCCTAAAGGAAATATCTTTCAGGTTGTATGAAATAACTTACATAGGAGAATGGCACATCTCTTTGTTTTTTTCCTTTGGCAAAATGGCCTCTGAGCCACTTAAACTTGTATCCATTTGTCAACTTGGTACATAAACTTTGGGTTTTCCCATTTGAACACTCCATCTCAACTATTTACGCATTAATAAACACCTTTGACGGTTAACTATGCTTATGTGGCAATATCATGTGCGATATGGCAATGCTGTATGTAATTCACGCAAATTAGGTACGTGAATTCAATTTGTTTGTGTAAAAAAAAAATACTAAAATATAAAAAGAAATTAAAGTTGAAAGAAAAAGAAGAATCATGTAAGTTTGGTTGTCCGCTTCTCCCTTCGCCGTTCTTCCCACCCCCCACCTCTCAATCCCACTTTCTGTTATTCTTTTTCCAGAATTCCCATCCCCCCTTCTTCCCCAGTTTTCCTTTCATCTTCTTCTCCCTAATTAAT